TTCCCTAATGATGCGATCCATATAGCGGGTCTTGGTGGCGAGGATGGAGGCATTCTGAAGCTGAATGCGGTGTCCCAGATCGATGCTGTGTTCAGCTACGGCCGACTTGTCTGGTTGTTCGAGACGGATGTGCCACTGATGCTCCTTCAACCTCATGTCCACGGAGCGGCCTGTCTGCCCAATATAGACCTTCCCGCACTCACATGGGATACTGTATACACCTGAATACATCCTTCAGGAAGGAAGCTCCTGAAGGATGTATTCAAGAAGAACGGATACAACAACCGGCAGATCCACAGAGTTTTCAAACGTCAGCCCAACATCAGCCGGCCTGAAGACAAACCGGGCTCAGTCGCTTTCCTTCCCTATGTTGGGACCATATTCAACCGTATCAGCAGAGTGCTGTCCCGGCGCAACATCAAAGCAGTGGGTCTGCCTCCAAACAAATTATCCAATTTCCTCCGGCCAGTTAAAGGCAGCCTGGGCCTAAGGACACCGGGTGTATACAGTATCCCATGCGAGTGCAGGAAGGTCTATATTGGGCAGACAGGCCGCTTCGTGGACATGAGGTTGAAGGAGCATCAGCGGCACATCCGTCTTGAACAACCAGACAAGTCGGCTGTAGCTGAACACATCATCGATCTGGGACACCGCATTCAGCTTCAGAATACCTCCATCCTTGCCACCAAGACCCACTATATGGATCGCATCATTAGGGAAGCAATTGAGATTGAACTGCATCCAGAAAATATGAACAGAGAAGGGGGGTTTTGTCTCAGCAAGTCTTGGAAACCTCTCATCTGTTCTCTTAAAAACCCCCACCGGGATATGACGCCAGATCCAGAAGGCCACACAGGCCATGACCAACCAACATAACAACCCCCCCCCCTCAGCTCACGGGTGGTGCCCAGCCTTCAACCTNAACGTCGGTTAACACCACATATACACGGTGCCAAATCCCAGAAGACTGCTTTCTTCAAGTGGAGGAATTGTTTTGGAAGAGACTGTGGACCTGTCGTCTGACAGATTACTGATGATGATGATGATACCATATTATCCAGGTAGCATTATTATATTCCATCCGTATCATGAAATTCATGCCATAAACTTATATCAACACCTTGACGAAAAACTAATATGGAGAATGCATACATACGTAAAAGCTAAGAGAAGACAACTAGAGTTCTAAACCAGAAATATGAATTGGCTCACCTACAAAAAATCACAGATATCTATTGAAAACAAAATAATCCTATATAAAACAATAATCAAACCAGTCTGGACTTACGGGATAGAGTTATGAGTATGCAGCAAACCTTCTAACAAAAAAAAATCTCCAAATGTTCCAATCCAAATGCTAAGAAACTAATATTAGAGTTAATTTTACCATTCACACAACACATTTTTATTATTGTCACACTACATGTTTCGACCTCAAGAGGTTATCCTCAGGTGTACGAACACAGTTGCACAATCACACACAATCACATTCGTGATAGATAATGCTCCCTGGTACATATCAAACGCTACCTTACACAATGATCTGAACATACCATATGTAACAGAAGTCATCAGAGCATATGCAGAGAAACACAAAAACCGGACCACTCAGAGCAACAACCAACTAATAAGAAACCTACTCAACCAACCAGCAATAGAAAGACTAAATAGAATGTGGCCAGAGGATCTCATTAGATAAGCACCAGAGAATCACTGGAGGATGATACCTGCTTCAATATTACATACACCCATCCCTTTTACTAATTACTCTATTTATGTATATTGAGCAGACTGTAAAATAAAAAAATAAAGTTATAGGAACTCATATTAAAACTATAAAAAAGTGATCAATGGAATTCACCAGTTTTTCTTCTTCTTCTGCATCTGCAAACAGGCGACGAATATTAGCCTCAGATTCACCAACATTCTTGCCCAAAACCTGTGGTCCATTAACTATTTTTGGTTCACAAGCATTCAACATGGTTCCAATCTGATGAGCCATTAGAGTTTTCCCCATACCCGGTGGTCCATATAACAGGATTCCTTTCACATGCTTGCAACCTAAAACCAATTACAAAATTAGAAACTCAATATCATAATGACAACAGACAAGACAGACTTTCGTAACATATTTGTGAAACATGATTTTTCATGGGCTATTTAATAATGCTTTTTCAGTATCATGACAGAGGAATGGGGAAGGACAACTTGGAAGGAAGTAGTTATGGCATAACAGTGGTACTATCCCAGTATTTGCGTGGAGGCAATGAGAAAAACCTTCAGTCAGGATAGTTGTGATCTGAGATGAGAACTTCCTGAATATAAGTCTAGAGTGTTGCTTCTACATCATTCTCTTTGGTTAAGTGCATGAATGCTATGATATGTAGGGACTTAAACAATAATGTCTTCTGGGATGTAACACTGTAGCCTGGCAGAAGTTTACTGTTTTGAAGGAACATACTGTTTCAGGGTACACCCAAGGTAGATTAGGAGTTCACTGTCATGAGAACCCTTACACTTACATGCAATGACTTGATGAGCAAACTAGCTCAGTGACTCAACTGCAGTCAGTATGATGAAACAGCTTCCAGTAGTAATACCATGGATTTAGTGAAAACTGAAAATCATTGTGAATAAATTTCTCGTGAAATGTGCTTCACATTTTTTTACAAAAGAAGGCAAAATGCCCAAAGAGACTTGACTGATAAGTACATCAATTATGGAATTATGATAAGGTGTGTATCATATTTCCAACAACTTTTCTATACTCCAGTATGTTATAAAACTTACTGTGTCATAAAAATCATGACTAGTCCAGTAACAAGCTGTTGGTTGTATTCCTTCTACCAATAAGTATGTCATGCTTAAAACTATCTAAAATATGTATGCAATTATGAGTATATCAACTTCTACAGTATACTTGAATTTCTGGTGTGTGGTTGAGGTTACCTTTGTCAGTCTTGAAACCATCAAAAGAATCTAATTTCAGACTGCATCAGAACCATTACACTGGTCAACTAATATAATGCAGCAAATTTAGCTACTAAATGTTGGCCGCCATAATTTGAAGCTGTTTTCGTCTTTCTTATTAAGTTTTTAACTGATCTGACAAAAGTACTTTTTGTGAAATAAATACCATGATAATATAGAAATGCAAAGATATTGGTCCTAGCTTTCACTCCTTTACTTAGAATTTGAATATTTGGACTACTCCATTTTTCAAAATCAGTGGAGCAGTTTGGATATAAGGGCAAATCATTCATTTAAGCTTGGCACTGCCCCTTCTAAAAAGCTAGTATCTCAAACAATTGGTAAATTGAATGGAACTTTATAAGTTAAAAAGATTTTAATAATACATTTCCTTGTACATACCTAACTGCTCAACAACTTCAGGAGGGAAAACACGTGATGCAAAAGCTCGCCTAAAGATGACACTGAATTCATTGTCCATACCACCAATTCCCATTTTCTGAAAGTCACAGTCTGGACTGAAAACAGACTGTCGAGATACTTTTCTGAAAACACATTTATAGAAAGAACTAGTACCACCAGACATCTAAGTATGAAGACTGACGCAATGCACTGTCACATTATAGTAAATCCAACAGGATGAAAAGATCTGGACAAAACAGTCCTTTAAGAAACTGGTGTGGTTAAGAAAACTGAAAGGTTAAGTGAGCAAGAATTACTTTTTACTGGTGAATACATTCACAAATATAAGAACAGAAAGAAATATGACAGGATTTATTGATCTGTCAGTGTTCCAGCAAGTCCTTGCACAAATAAGTGTTCTTTCCTTTCTCAGCTATAACTTGAAAATTTATGGACTGGATCCTGACTCATTACATAATCTCAGCACAAACTGCATAGAAAACAATGAACTGAGTAGCAATGACTGCGACTGCAACACAAACAACTAGACAATGGCCCATAAACAGCAACAGAAGAATGGCGTTTTCTGTGTGGTCTATGTCAAGATTTTGTAAGCAGGACAGTTAGTTGGGAGTGAGTTCAGTTAGTTGCTGCTCAGGTTCAGTCTTTGTGAACTGTTGTTGTGAGAAGCTGGTAACTGAGACCAGGGACATTTAGGGAAACCAGAAGAAGATGGGAATGGCTGCTGTTGGAAGCCACTACTGAGCAACAGCTAGTGAAGACACTAGTGGACTCTAGTGTGTGTGTAATAGTGGACTGTAAAGTGTAGTCATGCGCTGTATCAAAGAATCCAATAGATCCAATTACCAATCCAAAACACATCTATAGTCACTCTATTATGTGACAATTTATGTGGTGGCAGTGGCAGTGGCTGTGGTGGTGGTGCTGGATGACGGCAACGACGATGATGCATAATTGTATTAAGTACATAATGGAATCTGTGGAATAATTATGCAAGAAAGCCGTACCCTTTAGATTTCCCCACAAGATTTAATGATGAGTTTTCAGCTTTTTCAAACTGCACTGTGGTATCTCCCAGACAACGGCCCATTTTAGTTTCCTTAGGTTTTGCATCTTGACCAGCTTTGATGGCATTCAGATCAGCAGCTGAAAATCAGTTATCACACACATTTCTTAAATGAATATATTTTATTTCAACTTTAAGACATGTCATTAGGAACTGATACCAATATGAGCACTGTATTTAGGTTGGTCAAAGAGTAGGAAATCTTGGACATGAAGAGGAGGGGAGGAAGCAAATTGGAAACAAAGGAGTTTTTTATGATATGTCAAAGGAGAGCAGGTCTTACATGCAGGTAATGAGGGTGCACATTTCATATATTTAAATGACAATACGTTGGGATAATGCAGTCACATCCACAGCTTTGAGGCTCTTGACAACTAAACCCAGCAACTTCTTGTCAAGGAAGCTGAATGCCAGCTGCTGGCCAACTGTAAAAGCCTGACCTGAGAATTGTAGGAGGAATTCCTTTGTCATTTGATCTGTATCGTAAGGCTCTAAAGTAGTGCTATGAAATGCAGAAAACAGGTAATTAGACAAAAAATACAAACAAAAGACAATACACTGCTTTGAATTTTAAATATCCCAGACACAAAACTACAAAGTGCATCCATAAGAATCCACTCTATCTATCTAGTCCTTCTACAGAATAAATAATGCTTTCTGAAATTTGCTTGTGAATTAAGTCTGTTGACTCACCTCCAGCTAGTTCTGAGGTCAAGAAAATGTGGATCTATATATCCACACCGCCATACACCTTCATGGCGTAGGACAACTTTTGCCTTCTTTACCTTTTACTATAAATGTATATAGAGCATTAACATACAAGATATGTCACTGCTACATTTTGCAGTACCAGCATGTGTAAAGTGAGAACCTAATTGAGGAGTGCTCACACAAATGTTCAGTGAAATCACCTGGAAGTCAACAAAGTCAGGAACTTTAGCCTTCAGAAATAGATACACTGTGTTATAACAAATGAAAGCTTAGAGACGTTTATAATGAAATTAACTAGAACAAATGATTTTCTTGTCAGAACTTCATATTATAAGTTTTAATGAAAACACTGTGAACTTAAACTTAATAAATGGATGTGCAATAAGAGATTCTATATCTTGATGTTCCTAGCAAAAGTGTTTTTCCTTGGGTAAAGCTATCCTGTCACTACCATCTAGTGCCAAGACTGACAATGCATGGAACTTTACTTCTACATTTTGTTGGGTAATCAAATCAAGGAGAATAACTTGGTTATACTAAATAACATGGTGAAATGCATACAAAATTTAGTAAGAAATTGAATCTTAATTGGATACCTGGAAATAGACAAGGAGGATAATATTAAAATGGATTTTATGGAAACTGAGTGTGAGGCTGTGAACTGGGTTCATCTGGTTCAGAATGTGTCATGGCAGGTTCTTGAGATCAAGGTGATGAGTCATGAGAGTCCATAAAAGTGTAATTCTTAACTATATGAACAATCATCAGCTTCAAAAGAACGACTCTGTTATAAGGACTTGGCAGTTACTGAGCCTTCAAGTGTTATTTTGTTCTTTTCCTTACAGTATTCTTATACCTGATGACACATTGATACTATCATATTCAATACAAAACAAACTGCTGCAATTTTCATTATAATACTACAAGCTATAGAAAAACAAGCTGCATAGCTAAGGAGAAATTTTATCTGTCAGAATTATGAATGAAGTAGGAAATGTAGGTTTCTGTTATCTGGAATATAACACTGTGTAGTCTGATGAATGTCAACAGACTTTTGGAGAAACACACCGCATTCATCTTCAGGGTTGAGGAATTAGCCAACAAGCCAAACAATATAATATCATAGCATCCTGTTGCATGTCATTTATTCCTGCTAGTTAGCTGTATCACATGCAACTTGCTTTTTGAAATCTTAAAAGTGTATCTCTCCTACATCACTGGTGTATGCACACTACATGCTTCAGTGGTCATCTTCAGGTGTCTCTGACGAAACTGCTGTGCTTCCATCTTTAAGTTCAATGTTTTGGGGTATGCCCTCATATATGCACCCATTGTTCTATGGATATTTACTCCTGTGGGATGCCATTATATGAAGAGACAACCACTTGTTGAACTGTTCTTGCTGTTAGAGCACAGGATGCACCATTTGCCACTTTTTGGAAATTTGCATGTTTAGGGTATTTGGTGTCACCTTTGGAAATGTGACTCTTGACAGTTCTCGACCATAATAAGTCAAAGGGATGTTCTGATTAACTCAGTGCCATTTGAAATTTAAGGTCCAATGTCGCTAAACACATACAGCTGATTGGGATAAGCAAATTCTGTAAAAGACTCTCTTGCATATTAAACTAGTAAACAATCATTAATTATGTGACTTTTGACTATAATTTCAACATGGAAATTGCCGTGAAGTGTTTTAACATTATTAAGGAGGATCAGCAGTGATTTGTATATCAGTGTGACAATAAATGTAATTTGTTCTCAGTGCTCTTTAATAAACCAGTCATCAAGTTCTAACAAGTGTTGTTACTATCTGCAAGTGTGTGTGCTACAATGTTCAGCTTACTTGCCAGAGCAAGGCCTATTAAGAGCCGAGATAAGATCTCCAGCCTACCGAATCCTGAGCACAGCCAGTTATCTTCAACCAACTCTTACCACCTCCAATTGTAAGCATCCTACTCTGAGCTTACTAGTGCCCAATACCAGACCTCCTACCTTCCTAACAGCAATCAAAGGGGAGGGGGCAAGGATAAAGACAAATGGAGAGGGGTTCGGCATCTAAAGCAGAAACACCAGTCAGAGGCGCAGGGAAGTTATACTGCAGCTTCAGGCCAACAGAGCGCCCTCCATTCTCCCAGAAGCTCCCCTCACAGGAAATGTTACAGTTGACACTCAGCAGGTGGCTTCAAGAGTTCAGATCCATAAGAATGAATTCCCATTCATAATCTCAGTCATTAATACAACTCATATCAATTCATTATCATCACTCACTAGTTTCAAGCAAGCGCATAACAATCCACAAAGTGTCAGTTACATTAAATATACTTCAGACAATGGCCAATGTTCAACATATTAATATAATCTGTCAATCAATGCTATGAACGTTTAGAGAATCACTATTTACCCTGTTACAGATCATCAACATAATGACAACTCTCTCATTATATGGATACAGATTGCATCAAAGCTAGGAAAAAAATAAGTGACAATCTTCACCATTCACAGAGCCTGGGGACACTATGTAACAGGACCAAAGCAAGGTTTAAAGGATTGCATGGACAAGGCAAGTGTGGAACATTTTTTCTGCTATTGAATTTCTCTGATTGTTCAGTTTACACAGTATTTAATTTCAAGTATATCAGATTTCCTTAAGAGGGAAAAAAGGGAAATGGTACATGACAAGCAATATTCAACAGATAACAATCATCATGAGATATTTCAGTACATGCTCTTCAAATACCAATGACCACAATGAAATTCTTTCACATGCACAGAAAGATGGAGGTCAGAAAGGAAACTGTCAACTCCACATGACGGTATCCATTGTTTCATGAAGGCAATTCATTCCATGAAAATTGAACATAAGGAGTAAATTCATAAACCAAAACTGATACTGCCATTATTTTACATAAAAATGTCACCAGCTAATTCATGAGCCACAGAGAAGTCCCCCTCAAATTTTTACTATATGCTCTAGCAGCAAATAAGAATTAAAATGAGGACTTCATTACTTCATTTGGATATTTTATGTAAATACAATATATGATTTTAATCACACTTCTTTCTTTGCAGCTGATGCAATGAAATAAAGCAGCTTCATTATCATGGTGGTACATGTCTTTACATCACTGTCCTTCTCCAGTCCCTTTCACTATTTCCATCTTTACAGCCAAACCTAATACTTTCCTTGCTTTCTTTGGTTTATCAGTTAGTTGTTAGTTGTTAGTTCTTAGTTAGTTGTTAGGGAGCCATGTTGGGCACAAATATCACAGATATTTATCAACAAATGTAAGCAGCAGGAGCACTGCTGATTCAGTATGATTTGAACGAGGCATATGGACAGACTGGGATAGTGGGAGATGTAGGCAGAAAGTGATGTCTGCTTCTCCCCAGCAGTCCCATGCTTTACATGTACTTATTTCTCTGACTTCACAAAACTTCTTACAAATACGAAGTTGTTCATTGCAGCATAAGTGCATACCTGGATTTGTGAAATTAACATAACGGACACAGACACAACTCACCTCAGGTTCAGCCTTTATTCCTACAAATGATAGGTGAGGATACTCTTGTTCTTCTTCTTCTGCATGTGACAGTTTCTCATCTTTTATGCTGATGGCATGATGTGCATCATGAGAAGATGCTGGGCATATCTCACTACGCAGTTCTTGTAATTCTCTAAATCTGTAGTGATCTGTAAAATAACCAATGCAATTATGCTGTCATTGGACCATATTTACTGGGTGTGGTGTGTGTGTTCGGTGAGGAAATAGAGTGTTCTAACCCTCTGACTGCCAAGTCTTGCCAACTAATTGCTTGAAATGCCTAGATTGCTGGGGGTATATGTGGTTGAACACAAAAACCCTCAATATTTATGCAGATTACTTTCAAATATTATATTGTGCATAAATTTCATAAGTACTTTAGAGAATGTAGTTAACAGTGAAATTGGCTTGCACTTTGACATATTAGTTTCATCTCTTTTTGTATAGTAGTCTTACTACGGTAATCTTAAGATGATCAGGGAAGATCTCTACGAATAGTAAGTGATTACAAGGGCCCGGATTTTGATGACATATCTTTTTTTCCTTGTATCCTATTCGATGCCCATAAATATATAAATCCCGGAGATGAGCTGCTGGTTACAGAAATTTAAATTTTAGATGTCATTTCTGATCATTTGTAAGTTTTAGGTCATTTTTTCAAACTTGGGGTCATTTTTCAGTAAATGTTTGGACTTTTAAGGGTATTTTTTGTTTTTACTTGAATTTACTATTCTCATACACCATATGCTTAACTGTTACAATACCTACAACCATCCATGAATAAAGTGACCACATGGATTATGAAAATTAACACAATCTTCTCACAAAATATTTGGCTTCTCTGGACTTGCAAATCAGGTGATGAAGACAAATATACAGGGTGTCCCAAGAGGAATGGACCAAACTTCGGGAGGGTATTCCTTATGTTAAAGTATGCCGATATAACCCAAAACACCTATGTCCAAAGTTGAACGATTACGGAGATAATGGCCAAAGAAAAGTGTGGTCTTCTGGCAGGTCCACGCACTGTACCTGTCAGCTGAGAGGCCTTATCTATGTTTGTCCTTGAGTGCGATGATTCGCCCTAGCCGTGCTTATGTAGTTGGCTCATACCAGAACGCGCAGTCAGCACGTTACGTCAGCGCTTGCCATTCATGTGTCATGTATAGTGCTTGGAAACCCTAAGGACAATTATGACATGGTGAGCGAGCATTTTATACTTCAATTTTATGGCTTCATATCACTCACAAGTTAGTTTGATGTTACGTACATTATTAACATTACAGAATCCACATATTTCTGCCAGTTTTAATATGTATTTTGTAATCAACAAGTGTGCAACGCCGGTCAAAGTTTGATACTTCTCTGGCCATTATCTCCGTAACCGTTCAACTTTGGACATAGGTGTTTTGGGTTATA